GGATTGTTGGTACTGCAGCTTACCCTAGCCTGGCAGTTGGCCTCTCATCGGCTCAGAGGTGCATGAACAGGCTTTGCTTTTGTGATGCACTCCAAAATCCAGCTACAACAATGGGGGACCATGTCGCCGTTGGCCATTTTCGTCTTTGACCAGGCTCCCTGTCTGCTAGGGGCCCCAAGGTCTACCAAAGAGCGCGTAGTTTCTTGAGCTTGCCCGCGGGCAGACGGGCTTTGCTTTTTCGAGCGTTCACGGTATGATATCTGCCGGAGCTTCTCGGGCCCTGTCAGGAATAGTTAGTAGTCGAATATTGCACCTAGGTGGGCAGAGGGCCGAGTTGGATGGACATGACAAAATGGGACAAAATGGGGGCGCCCGTAATACGTACGGGGAGCCAGATTGCACAACCAGTATCCGGGTTCAAGAGAGCGAATGTATGGAGTGTTTTGCAAGCGAGAGACCGGGGCTCCGGGCCTTTCTCAGGTGTCTGCGTTGACAATTGCATGGCATGTGAGGCGGAATGGATGTATGTGTCTGATATCAAGTCTGGTACGCGGCGGAGGTGCAGGGTTTAGGGTAGCATCACCAGTTGACGACAGCGCGACTATGCCGGGAAGGAGCAACCAACCATACACTTCAAGGCTTCCCGCGTGTTTTGAGCTGTCAAGTGGCGTCACGCTCATTGTGGGTTTCAATGTTGGTGCACCAGACAGTTGTTGAACATATGCACTGTACTCTGTACTGGGAGGTATCTGCGACTTAACTGACACCAACCGAGACTGCGATTTGCTGCTTTCGTTGCGCTGCTCTGCGCTGCTCCATGTCGTCCCCCACATCGATCCCGAAAGAGGTGGTCAAAGCACGGCGCCCGCCAATGACAAGGAGCTTTGGCAGCCAAGCTTGATCGGCCCAAGTCGATGGCTGTCAACGGGTGCCTGAGCGCAACATGGAAACCCTTAAACTCAATGGCATGGCTGACTGGCGTCGATTGCTGGATGGGATGGATGGATGGATTGAGCATGGCAACTTACAGGATCAGGCGGGTGGTTTCTCGCTTGCTCGCTTGAGAGCATGGACCGCAACCCCGAGCGCACAAGACCTGGGCGTGGGTATGGGCACTTAACGCAGCATGGGACCATCTCGACATCTTGAAGACTGCGGCGCTTGGCAGCGGACTCATCGGACTGGATGGTCCCAGATGGGTTTAGTCTCTCCGGCACCTGGTGGGCCCCCATTCTAATTGAGCGACGGCAACAGTTGGCCGAGCCTGCTGGCCCACGCCTCCCCCTCCTGCAACCCAGGGTCCCAGGTGCTTTTGCATCGATGCTGTGCGCCGTCAACCACATGTTGGAACTACTCCATAACTACCTACCTGGAAGCACAATCTACTTGGTGTTTCTGGCATAGTGCCCGTCTGGTACCAGCCAATCCATCTGCCCGAGTGATGTGGTTCCATCGCCGTCCTTTAAGTTTGGCCGTTGCCCAATCTGTTGCAACTCTCGTTCGTTGCCTCTTTTTCCTGGTCTGTGATTCCCTTCTTTTCCATCTTCTTCCCTCCCTACCACGGGCTCTTTGGTGTGTGTTTGAGCAGGCTCTCGGAAGTGATAAGTCCGTTGTCGTCTCGTCTGCAGAACTGTTGCAATTCGCGCCGTTACGCGTCCGCCTGCGAGTTCTGCCCGCACCGGCTTTTGCGTCCCTTTTTTTACCTTTTCTATAGGTGGCCTGCTCGTTAACGTTTCAAACCTTGAGGCAACTGTGGCCATTTTATAAACCTTTCACTCAGATCCGTTTCCTCTCTGTCATCTTAAGGCGTGTTCCTCCGTCTCGCCTGTCTATATCGCTCTCGGCCAGCGCAAAAGGGCCTCCCGAAGCTCCCTCTTCAACGCCATCAAACTGGGCTATCATGTCTGCCAATTTCGACGAAAAGTCCAAAAACGCCCATGTCAGCCAAACCGGCTCACAATCCTCAAGCGACAATGACCCCCCCGCTGGATTTCTCCCGCCCACTGCTGGCGTCACCAATGTCGATGCCGCCTGGAAGTTCCTGAACGAACATCGCCACGCCGAAGGCGTCGACGCCGTTAATCTGACTGCCCTGCGTCACAAGATCGACTGGCACATTGTTCCCCTCATGTTCCTGTGTTACACTATGCAGTTCCTTGACAAGGTCATCCTGAATGTGAGCCACAACCTGTTAACCACCTTTCCAAAGCGACATCTGCTAGTCTTTGGCCCGAACCAAGGTCAGGTCGCAATGTCGCAGTTGGCAATTGCCCACGATTACTTATTTGCTAACCATCAACTCGCCAGTATGCCGCCGTCATGGGACTCAACAAGGACCTGAAGCTTCAGGGCAATGATTTCTCCAACATTGCCACGTTTCTCTTCGTTGGTCTGCTTTGTTTCGAAATCCCCAACAGTACGTTGCAGCTGTCGCAGAGCAAAACAGCGACTGGAAACGAACTCTTTGCTGCGAGAACCACATTTAGCTAACACGTGGCCTGCTGCAGTTTACTTCCTTCAAGTCTTTCCCGCTGCCAAGTGGCTCGGAGCCAATGTCACTCTCTGGGGCATCGCAACCGCATGTGGTGCAGCTGCCCACAATTACCAGCGCTTGCTCGCCTCGCGTATCTTTCTCGGCATCTTCGAGGCTACTATTGCTCCGTCCCTGATGCTGATCAGCAGCCAATGGTACACCAAGTCAGAGCAGGCTCCTCGGTTTTCCTTCTGGTATCTTGGTCTGGGTCTTGGTCAAATTATCGGCGGTCTCGTCTCCTTCGGGTTCCAGCACATGACGCCCGGTGCCGCCCTGGCTGGCTGGAGAACTATGTTCGTCGTTCTAGGATGCTTGACTGTTGTCTTCGGCATTTCCACTTTCTTCTTCATCCCTGATACCCCAATGCAGGCCAAGTGGCTGTCCGACACCGAGAAGGTTGCTCTTCTGAAGCACGTCAGTGTCAACCAAACCGGTATTCAGAGCCGCAAGTTCCGGGTCAAGGAGATTTTTGAGGCTCTGGTAGACCCTCAGATCTACCTTTTGATTCTGTCCGTTGTTTTGCTGTCTGTTTCTAGCGGCGTTGTCACCACCTACTCGGCTACTCTGATCCGCAACATTCTATCCGACGAGCCTCCAGCATGGGCTCCAAAGAAGGCTGCTCTGCTAAACATGCCATCTGGTATTGTCAGTATCTTCTTTACACTACTGGTCGGTTACGGTATTCGTAAGCAGTCGCATAGGTGGGCATGGATCATTGCCTGTATCATTCCTGCGTGAGTACCCAGCGTCCATTTGGCGGTCGCTATATCCGAGCCGTGTGGGCTAACCTGTTGAAATCAGCATCATTGGTGGCGCCCTGATGTCTTTCCTGCCCAACTCCAACAAGGCTGGGTTGCTGGCTGGTATCTATCTTGTCAATGCCGTCGTCGCGCCTCTCACAATCTTCTACAACGTAAGTCGATCTCGATCCTTTCTTAGCTCGGAGTGTGGCATGTCGACCAACCTAACCTCGATTCTAGTGGACTGTCGCCAACTGTGCTGGTGCCACCAAACGAGCCTTTGCTGCCGCTATTATTTCTGGCTCCTTCTCCCTCGGCAACATCATCGGGCCTCAGACATTCCAGGCCCGTGACGCTCCCGATTATCGCCCTGCCAAGCTGGCTGTCATGGGTACTCAAGCCGGCTGCGCCCTCACCACTTTCGTGCTGTTCCTTTACTATGTGTGGGCCAATAAGCGCCGAAATGACCGCAGCAAGGAGACGGAGGAGCAGTTCCTATCCCGCGAGGTTTGGGCCACCCTGACCGACAAGGAAAACAAGCAGTTCCGCTACACTTACTAAGGCGGAGTGTATAAATTTGCACGGTGGAAAAGTGAAGATACCCAAAACAGAAGAAGGTCTTCCTGCCTGTCGCGCGAGACGTGAAGTAACGTGTGGAAATATGGTATTGGAATGACGGCAGCATGGTATGTATTTCGTATTAGAGTGGTATGGGGGAGGCATCTTGGTGTATACTTTTGAGCGACGCAATTTTGTCTTCGTCTGTTTGGATGTAACCTGTGTATCGTGTAGCTTTTTGAAGTACACAGAAGGATGAATTGCACAGGGCAGGCAATATTTGACAACCCCGTGCGTACCGGGCATGACCACTTGCAGCAAATCGCGCCTCCGAGGGACAGTTGGAGTGTACCTGTCGTGGGTGTCCGGTGACAGCGTCAAGTCAGGCCAGTGACTGGTCCCGCCACGGAGCTGTCCTATTTCAGCATGCTTCCTCGTTACAGAGTGTTTTGTGTCTCCTTGGTTAATAATATGCCTGAAATCCACCAGCTGGATGCATGTGGAGGAAAAATCCGAGCTCGGCTCTCTTCTTCACCAGCTACGTGCACGCACCCTGCGAAAAGCCCTAGGGCTCCCTACGCAGCTGACATTTCAACGGAGACGCATCCCTTTTGGGACTCCGAATCCCAAGTCCTTCATCTTGTCGGCAAACATTGTGACGGCATTCCGTGGTCTGTTGCGGCTCCCTGGCCTAGGTACGGCCGGTATATTGTGTTGCCAGATGTAATGCTTGCACGACGCTTGCACGATTTGGATTAATCAACATGAGAAAGGGAAAAAAAGCCTTGATACATTGTGGCCACCACCTAGACAAAACGTCACTGGACATCAAGATTCACACCATGCACATCAAAATAACTGCATGTAAGCTTCCATTACGTATCTGCCTACACTTCTGACTATTGTCATCATCATGCTACATATCCACTTTCCAAAGGCAAATCCAACATAATCGCACCCCCATGGAGCGCAAATGACTAGAAACAAGACGCCATCCCAAGCAGTGTAATCCCGAGTGTAGGGAAAAAAAAAGACAAAAGACAAAGGGATTTTGAAGATTGTGAGACGGGGGTAGATGATCTAGGGATACCCCCATTTAATCCCACTCAGCGTGGCCCAAGATTGACAAAAAACGGCTCGCAAATCCAGCAACCAATTATGCCTACTCTTTACACAGCAGGACCAGCCTTGACAACGTCCTCGGTAGCTTCGCTCTCATACTTGGTGAAGTTCTCGCGGAAGAGCTTGCCCAGCTTGACAACTTCGTTCTGGAAGCTGTCGGCACCAGCCGTCCAGGCCTTCTCGGGGTTGAGCAGGTCGGCGGGGACGTTGGGGCAAGACTTGGGGACCTGGAGGTTGAAGACGCCGTAGTTCTCGTACTCGACCTTGGCCAGCTCGCCCGAGTGGATGGCGTCGAGGATGGCACGGGTGTACTTGAGGGGGCAACGCTTGCCGCCCTGGTTGTGGCCGGCACCGACCCAGCCGGTGTTGAGGAGCCAGGCGTTGGCCTTGTGCTGCTCGATCTTGTCGGCAAGCATCTTGGCGTATCGCATGGGGTGCAGGGCAAGGAAGGGCTGGGCGAAGCAGCTGGAGAAGGTGGCCTGGGGCTCGGTGACACCGTCCTCGGTACCGGCCATCTTGGAGGTGTATCCCGAGATGAAGTGGAACATGGTCTGAGCACGGTCCAGCTTGGAGATGGGGGGCAGGACACCACGGGCATCGCACGTCAGGAGGATGATGTTGGAGGGCATGTTTTCTGACAGGCAGGGAATCTTGGCGTTGCTGATGTACTCGATGGGGTAGGCGCATCGGGTGTTCTCAGTCAGGGTAGCGTCGTCGTAGTCGACTTCGCGGGTCTCGGGGTCGAAGACGACATTCTCGAGGACGGATCCGTAGCGGATGGCGCCGTAGATATCAGGCTCCTTCTCGGCGGACAGGCCAATGCACTTGGCATAGCAACCACCCTCGATATTGAAGACGCCACGGTCACTCCAGCAGTGCTCGTCGTCACCGATCAGGGCGCGGTTGGGGTCGGCGGACAGGGTGGTCTTGCCGGTTCCGGACAGACCGAAGAAGAGGGTGACATCGCCATTCTTGCCCTCGTTGGCGGAGGAGTGCAGGGTCAAGACGTTGTGCTTGATAGGCATCTCGTAGAAGAGAACAGTGAAGACGCCCTTCTTCATCTCACCGGCGTACTCGGTACCCAGGATGACCATCTCCTTCTCGGCGAAGTTGATGGCGACTGAGGTAGGAGAGGTCATGCCCTCGGTGTAACGGTTCGCAGGGAACGAGCCGGCGTTGTAGATGGTGTAGTCGGGGTGGAAGTGCTCCAGCTCCTCGCGAGGAGGGCGGATGAGCATGTTTCTCATGAAGAGAGCATGGTAGGCACGGGCGCAGATGACACGAACGCGGATGCGATACTTCTCGTCCCAGCCGGCATAACCGTCGATGACATAGATGCGGTTGCGGGTGTTGAGGTAGTCGACAGCACGCTCACGGTTGATCTTCCAGACCTGAGGATAGGGGGACAAGAAACGTTAGTCACAAACCACCATGACTATATGATGTCTTACAAGAGGGGAAAAAAAAGGAGTAAAAACAATTGCAACGAGAGAAAGTGAACAAACAGCAATGACAGGCTGCCCGGCCCAAAGCAGCAGCGACTCGAGAAATGCTGCATTTCACACTTGCGCATGCAATTCCTCTTCTCCAATATCTCAGAACCCCCCGCGCTTGAACTCGGCGAGCAATTCTCGCGCATGCAGGGGGAGTACCGGCCGCAGCACCAATGGTTGCACGAGACCTGTAGGACCCGGAGAACCTGCAGGGGCACAAATGGCTTCTCGGCTCGGTTCTCGACAGTGGTAATCGGATCGAGTCGGGACGAGTCGCGCGACTCAGCCCAGTCCAGACCCTGTCATGGTCATCAAATGTGGAGGATCTGACTTTTGAGACGGAACAACAGACGCCTCCGGACTGAGGGCCGCTTAAGCTCGGGCTGCCAATTAGGCAGGCTGTGGGGCAAGAACCAGGCAAAAGCATGTGCGAGCGGGGCGGCAGAGAAGCCAATAGTGGCACCTGCATTTCCAGCACTCGGAACCAGCAAATGCATCACCGTGAGGCCTGCATTGCCGCAATGGCTGCAGAGGCAAGGTGTGGACTGTGGCCAGCATGTGTAGCAAACGAGCGAGCTGAAAGTTCCAGCATCATCGCCTGACAACTGGTTGCTGCTCAAAGCGATGCCTCGGCCTCGGGCTGTCGTCACGAGCTGCGCCAAAACGCGGGGCAGCGCAAACGGCCGAAAAAAAGGTACATTGCACATGTGCACTGTGCGTGCGGCAGAGTCATGCATGGAAGTCTGGGGTTTCGGCTCGCACATCCGGCCCTCAGGCGACACAGCATTCCCGCGGCATGCATGACATAGAAACAGGCGGCAGAAACAATGAACGGGCGCAGTGCAGCTTACCTCGGTGCTCATGGGCTTGTTGACGGGACCCCACCAGATGTCGTTTTCTGATGAAGGCTCCTGGACAATTCGCTTGTCGAGAGGTGAGCGACCAGTCTTCTTTCCGGAGTAGGCAGTCAGGGCACCGCTCGAGGTGATGGCGGAACCCGTCTCGTAGACGAGAGCATCTTCGTAGAGAGCGGCTACTGAGGGGTTGGGGATCTGTGCACATTAGGATTGTTAGATTAAAAAAAAAATCACATGCCAGCTGATTTCGTTGTCTCAACGTACAATGGCGACACGGTCGTAGTCAATGTGGGCAGTCTCGTGGAGCTCCTCCTCAAGCTCGGTGTGGTTGTGGTGAGGCCTGGGTGAAGAAATAGGTGTAAGCAAAGCCGAAGCGAGCACAAGGCAGGGGAGCCGGGCAGAGGAGAATTCACTTACTGTACACCGCCAGGGTGCAAAGCAGTCTTGTTGACGTTGCTGGAGATCACTGTCGGCTTGTTAGAAGAGCCATGAGAGACGACGTCATGTTGACGACTCGAGAGACCAAAAAGGGAAGCAACACGAAGAGGGAACAAGTAGCTACTCACTCTTGCGCAAATCAGCTCTGGATTCTTGAATCTTGAACCTTGGGCCTTGGACAGAGGGATCAGTGTAAGGAGATGCGGTCCTGACGATGGGGTCTGCCATCCTTATGTATTCATTCAATCTTGGGGACAGAGAAAGGCAGGGAATGACAGAAGAGCAAGGCTGTGGCGCTGTAGCGTCTTAGCTCAAGAGGTCGGGTCAATGTAATTCGCCAAGGCGCAGTGCACCGGGTGGAATTCTAGGCCAGGTACCAGTGTCTGATATTTTGGAAGCGCAGGATGTATGTATGTATACTTGGCAAGGGGGGGCGTGGAGCCGAGTCAATTGCGGATTTGCAGGTGAATATCGTGGAGGAGAAGATGTCAGATTGGAATTGCTCGAGATTGCCTTGGGCTGGTGATGACGAGACGGGCGGCGATGGAGTGGGGCCGGGGGGGGGCGTCTGGGGAGCACTTGAGGGTGGTTTGGCTTCCGGCGTCGAGGCGGGTGATGCAAAAGGGACCGGTCACGATATTATACCGGAAGGGCTGCTTTTAGGCTTTGCTGCTGTTTCTGGCGGGTTGGCGGGTTGGCGGGTTGGCGGCGAGGAAAGCAATCAGTCAATCGGTTGCTTTGACAAGGATCGGCCTGGGCGTGGAGATGGAGAAGGGGGGCGCGGCGTTGGTGCTGGAGGGGGCGTCGCGGCCGGGGGATCGATCGGTGGATGTCTGGCGCCGAAGGCTGCACAGTGACGGGCTGAATGCTGGCACGAGGTGCTGGGGGCGCTGGAGCGTCAACTGAAAGTCTGGTGCCCAGGGAGCCGCCACAAGGCGCGACACAGCAACTGGTTGGATGGCGAGGGCGCTAGCTCTGGCGAGGCGTGGGGAATCAGGCTCTGGGGCTGGCGCCGCTGAGGAGGAGCCTGGCGTCAGGCTGGCAAGTCTGGTGTCGTATTATTATTGTGCAGCAAGCAAGCGCTGCGTTTCAGACAATGTTGGCCGGAACCAGACGGGGAGCTAAACGGGGAGCTTGAGACGGGTAGCACGAAGCGCTGCGGGCACGTTTGGTCAAGTGACCAAGTTTAGACTCGATAGGCAACCAACTCAGCGGTGAAGCACAATGATGAAGGATGAAAAAAAAAAAGAAAAATGAAGTCGAGATGGAAATGGCCTCTCTTTTAACCTCAATACCAAATACCTCCGACGTTATTGCAAACTTGGAAACTTGCGCCTTGGAATCCTAATCCCATTCACCCGAACTGAATGCATCGTGGTCCGCGCTTGCAATGCGCCGGATGTAGGAACTTTTCGGGACGGAAACCAGACACCAGACAACTGCCGTTCTGCGGACATGTCAGACGGATGGCCGAGCGTGCTTTTCCTTGGTCTTTGCTTCCGGCTCGTCCTCGGGTCCGGAGGCCAACCGTGTTTGACCCAACCAGTGTATTGGAGGGGAGTAAGACATGCCCGAGATGTTGGCTGTTTAGATCATCTTGGATACCTCGACCAACATACAATGTTGAATCGATGCAGTTGACATGTCTGGTAGTTACCAGTGCTACTTTTAGTTCTAATTATTGATGCCCCCAGGCAGCGGGACTGCGCTGACGGAGCGCTGCGCGGGGGATCTCCAGGCCTGAGAATTAGTGGGCTTCCAACAACCCAGGACACCCAACGCTCCACCATTGCAGTTGACACATGTCAAGTACAATGCCTGGCAGCCCGTGAGTCCATGACGCAACTTGGAGACGCACATGTGCACTTGATGCATTTGCTGTTGATGAATGTCCATCCTTTTTTACGGGTGTAGCATCGCTTTATTCCATCTAATAACTGCACCTGTGGTTATTACTCCAACGCCCTCTTCCCCTCCCTCGCAACAAGTCCTTTTGCACACTCCCCCCTGGTCCCTGTCCCGGTATCCCAACGGCCGCCATCAATCGTCATTCATTCATTCCACCAGCGGCCATGTCGTGCCTTGCTGTTTCCATGCTGTGTATCGGCCACGACCGGCACACTCAAGTTTCAAGCGGCCGCTGAGACATGGGAACCTGCCACGCAGAGCGAATCAAGGTGTCTGAGCCATGCAACTCGGCCACCCGTTTCGGCAACATCAGGGACGGTGCTCCGTATCTCTGTTCAAGGAACCGATAGGAATTTGATAGGAACATGACCGTTTTACAGATGGATCCGAAACGGACCGTAAAGAACAATCGCATGTAGCTCCCGAAGCTCTTGAGCAAAACTCACACCCCCCCTGTCCAATTTCGAGAAGAGCCCATCTTCAACTTCAACTCACCTGTTCAACCGCCGCCACACACACACACACACACATAGACGCATCTCCATCACCTGTGGCCAGCCTCTGCGGCCGCCGACGACAAGCTCGACACATGGACAACTATGCATACTTTTCCCGCCCCCGAACCCATGTTTGCATACTCACCTAAACGCGAAGCCAAGAAACAGGGTCCCATGGTAACGTATGTATGCCTGAGAGGGTGGACTCTTTGCCGTGGCGATTCCTGACCGAGGGCACAAAGGCAGAGCGGCCGCTGCGTCGAGATGCGCTGCGAGCCGGCGCCGGCGCCGGCGCACGCATAGACATCATCGATGACACACGACACACGACACATCACCACACCGCTGGTGAACTGTAACTAACTAATGGAAGCCCAAAGTTGGACAAGGGCATACTATCGTGTCGAGTGCGTACAGACTTACATACACAGACTCGTCATACCCCACGACTCCAGACTCGAGCCAAGCACCGCTCCGGGCCTGGAACAACAAGTCGAATCTCTCGTAACAGAAACAGAAAATAGACGACACACAAGTTGACGCTTTCCACTAGCACACCCGCCTGTGGAGAAGCGCGATGGCAACCCGGTTCCTTGGCTGCCCCCTTCCCCGTATGTATAATGGCCGTCATTTCTCGCCAGGCCACATGACCAGCAGAGATCTCGCGAGCTCCATTCCTGGCGAGAAATGAGAGATGAAGAAAATCGGCATGGGGGTCAGAAAGGGGCAAATATAATACGATTATTATTCTTATTATTGCCATTTTGGAACCCGTGGCCAGTCTTGAGATTGATCCATTGCTGTACATGGTGCCTCGTGGTCCGCCGAATCAGCCCGCGCGGGTTGCCAGTTGATGTGTGGCACACGCCCCTGCGGAGCCGTGGGGGAACAGCCATTGGTCTAGGCCTCTGTGACGACCTTGTATGTCCAATGCAGTGAAGTTTGACGCTGTTTTATGCCAAGGCTGTCGTCGTCGCAAACTACATAGACCATCGTGTTCATTCTAGGATTACAAGGTATTGCCTTTTTAAAAAAATAAATAAATAGAAAATGCTCCCCTGCTTGTCCCCCAAATAGCATTCGTCACCACCGGTCAAAACATCACTTCTCCCCTCCCCTGCAGGCCGTGCATCATCCCAGGAATCCGCCATCAGGCACCACTACCAAAAAAAAAACCTACCCAAATCCCCCCCAGCTTTTCTCGTCACCGTAACTTTCGTGTCCCAGTCCGTCCTGCATTTACATACCCGCCCGCCGCACCTCCGCCACGGTCTCGGCTCCACGGCACCATCCGCAGCAAACATTGAAGTGCATTCAGCGACGGCCGATTGGCTGCACGCGCCGCAACAGAGACTGCTCCGACTTCTTCCGGCCACGCTTTCGCCATGAAAGGTACCCAGTACGTACCACTTGTTCTTCATTTTCTTCCGGCTCACGACTTTTAATTTAATTTTCGGTAGTCTTTTTTTCTGTGTCTCTTTCGGCTTCGGAAGAAGGGATAGCAGGATGACACTGGGATTACGTGCTCCTTTGTAATAAAATTCCACTGATACCTGCACGCCCCTTGGGAAACCGAGACTTGCACAAAAACAATGCTGGGGGATAATCCACCGTCGGTACGGAAAACACGGTTTCCCTCCTCGACAACCGTTTTTCACACGCACGCTCTACGCCGTCCCGGGATATTTCCTTGCCCCTAGAGTATTCTCGCACCGTATTGCGCTTGACTGTCTCTGCCGTGCCGCGCCGCGCCGCCCGTCCCTTCCCCTCGGAAGCGCACTGCTTGACCGTTTGCTTGTTTGTTTCGCCCACTCCCTTTTCATGCGAACCGCATTTGATTTTTTTTTTCGCTTCAATTTCCTATTCTGCTCTTGTATACATGCGGATTCGCATTCTTATTAAAAAAAAAAAAAAATGAGAGCCCTGTATAAAATCGACACAATTTCCTTCCATGGGATTTTGTGCCCACCCGTCTCAGATCTCACCTTCCGAGTCCGTGTTCCCTTCCGGCCACGCCCATTCTGGCCGCCGTCTCCACACTCGGGCGTTCACCAGCCACGACTCCACACTTCTGGCGCCGTTCCGTGTCGGGACTCGGAGGGTGGATCCGAGCGCAGGGGGACACAACGTACGGGGGGACCAGCAGCTCCCGGTTCTTTTTCGTGCAAGTTTGCAAGTTTCCCGTGGAAAAGTTGCAAAGCTGTGCTGTGAGGGGGCCCAAACAAGAAACGAGCCCTTTTTTCCTCTGTGTTTGGCCATTGTTTTTGGAACCCTTCTTCTTGTCCCCACCATGTCGGGGATGGAATTCGGCGTTCCAAAACGCAGGTCCATGACGCACGTCACGATGCTGGTTTTGTGTGTCATTGCACATGTCCATGGAGTCGCGCGCGCGTCGCAACTGCGCCTCTGCACAGTCAGTCTGCGCAGGCTGCCACACAAAACACACGCACCCGTTGGGCCTTGCAAAGAGCCGCATCCCGTGTCCTTCCGTCCTCGTCTCTCTATTTCCCCCTGGCCAATCGCCACTGTGTCGTAGATACGAGGCGTATCTGCGGACAAGTCCGGCCGCCGCCTCGCTGACAGCATCCACCCAGCAACCAAGCATTACACACATGCACCGCGTCGTCATTGGCTACCCATTTTGTGATACCTGATACCTTTTGCAGGTCTGCACCCCAAGTGACCCTCTTGTGCTTTTGTAGTGGGGGTGCTATCATGCATCTTTATTATCAAACTATGCCGAGGGGAAATGGCTTTTGTATCTTTCTTGAGGCCGTCTATGCTTCCAGATTGTCGTGTGTCATCTACCAAATTCCACCTATCCACCTCGTCAAAGGAAGCTATCTTGCCATATCATGTATTCCCAACGCCGGCTTTCTTTCGTCAAAGATACGCCTCCGTCTGTTCAATGGGAACCGTAGCGTCTTCGGCACGTCCGCAATGCTTTTTCTTCTTGTCCCCCTCCTGACACACCCCCCCAAATCTTCCTTTCTTGACCCGGAGAGGAGCTCTTCGAACCTGATGACTTTCTCGAATACAGAAACTCATGGTGGCACCACTACAGGGTACCTTCATTTATTCGGAGCTGTTAGTAATGAGCTTGGTGATCTTGCCAATGGCAATAGTTTGTCCCTATACAGTACAGATAGATTAGTTTCTGCTCGCAGTTACTTGTTTCGTCGTCTTTTTTCTGTCCCCGTTTGTTTGTTTGTTCGTTGCGCACGCAAACAATGATAACGTACCTGATCACGAAGAGTAAAGCGACCCATCTGGGGATAATCCTCAAACTTCTCCACGCAAACAGATCCTGCTCCACCAATCACTTGCATGCGTGCAATGATGCTGTCTCCCTTCTTGGCATGTGTCGGGGGGTTTTTGCTCTTTCTGTTGGTACCCTTCTGCAGCTTGTGCAGCAGCGCAGCAAAGGTGACTTCTTCAATGGCAGAGTGCACATGGAGAACGCAGTTGAACCCAGATGTCAAGATGTTCTTCAAGTCCAGAATGCGAATCTGCGCCTCGAACTCGGCCACGCAGTGGACCAGTCTCTTGGGCGAGCAGAGCACGAATCCAGGCAGGATATCTTCCTCCTCCACACCCTTGAGACGCATTCGTACTTGATCGCCGCACTGCAGAATGGGAACTTCTTCCTCTTGCTCACCGTACTGCGCCGACACCTCCACGGTCTGCTTGCGAGGCATCATGACCAGAGTCATGCCTTTCTTGACAACACCGGCTTCAATTTTACCATCCACCATGGTACCCAAATCTCGGTATTTGGCATTGATTGGCATCATGAATGGTGCGTTGATCTTGCGCTCAAGAGCGCTCATGCCGTCCAGATACTCTAGCAGCGACGGACCGTCCCACCATGGTGCAATGCCCTTGGGGAGGCGATCCTTGATGTTCAGTGAAGACTGTGCGGCAACAGGCATGAAAAAGACATCCGTCTTCAGGTTGTAGCCCGTTCCCTTGAGGAACTGAGAGAGCTTGGTTGTGCACTCCGTGTAACGCTCCTGGGACCATTCAACCGTAGGGTCATCCATCTTGTTGATGACCACAATCAACTTGTTGACACCCTGCGTCTTGGCAAGCATAGCATGCTCACGCGTCTGTCCTCCACGTTCAAACCCAGTCTCATATTCACCCTTGCGAGCCGAAATGACCAAAATACCAACATCGGCTTGTGAGGCTCCACCAATCATGTTGGGCACATAGGTCTTGTGGCCAGGGGCATCCAAAATGCTGTATCTGCGCTTTTCTGTCTCGAAAAAGCCACGGCCAACTTCAACAGTCTTACCCTTGGAACGTTCCTCCTTGGTCAAGTCCATGACCCAAGACAGATACCAAGACTCTCGGCCGAGATCCTTGGCTTCACGCTTGTACTTGTCCATGGTTCTCTCATCAACCATACCAGTCGTCCACAAGATGGATCCGCCCAGGGTAGATTTACCAGCATCGACGTGACCAATAAAAATGATATTGACATGCTCTTTTCCGTAGACTTCCTTCAGAGTTTCGTCGTCAACATCGGCTGCCTGTTCCTTGGTAACGGCGTCGGCTTCACGCTGAGCCTTCTTCTCGCCGGGGCCGGATGGACTTGATCGTCCGGAAGATGGGGTTGGGGAGGTCCTGCCAGAGGATTTGTTTGCGGAGGCGGCCTTCCCAGCCTTCTCACCAGTCTTCTCGATAGCCTTGACAGCAGCCGCCTTCTGGCCAGCCTCTGGCTTGTTTGAGGGCTCGGGTTTGGCCTCCTCCTTGTCCTTGGTAGGTGTGGAAGTTCCACTTCCACCAATCGAAAGGACCTTGGCCTTGGGCTTGGGGGCTGAAGCATCACCACCGATGCTAAGGACCTTGGGACCGCCCTCCTTGGTTAGAACCTTGGGCGCAGTCGGTGCGGCTGCAGGAGCAGCAGAGGCGGGAGCTTGTGTTGGTTGCTGCTGGGCCTGGCCTGGTTGACCATACTGGGGGTATCCTCCACCTGAACATGTAATTAGTTTTGCGCGCTCAGAGAAATCGAACAGCAGAGGCGGCATACCATATCCCTGGTTATATCCCTGGCTGAAATTGCCTCCATAGCCTCCCTGGTTGTACTGATTGAAGCCTTGCTGCTGACCATATTGAGGATAGTAGCCTTGCTGGTAGTATTGCTGCTGTTGATACTGGTTGGAAAAACCACCGCCGTATGGCTGGCCAGGCTGGAACGATTGGGCGCCTGGCTGGAAGGAAGCGGCGCCGGGGCGGAACCCTCCTTGACCCTGGCCAGCGTTCACGTTGAGCTGCTGCTGAGCTCTCCGCGAGAGATTCTCGTCTTGTGCAGCGGGATCGTCTTCCCAAGAGTTGAGGTTCGACATGATGATCGGCCGGCGACGGAAAAGATGTTTGAAAAAGCTCCTCGGTGGGTCGAAAACAAGAAACGTTGGCGCAGAGACACGTCTAAATAATGCCCCTCGTTGGTTGCCGGTGTGGCTGCCTGATGAGTTCCCCCCAGCTGAAACGCTTGAGCCTTGCTTGTGAGTCAAACGAGATGAAACGAACTTGGCCTCTCCGAGATACCGTAGGGCGGGGATTTAGGCGGCAAAACGATCGTTCGAGATGATCGGGCCTGGATATGGTTTCGCCTGAATGGAGGTTGTGAAAATTCGAGCCCCACCAAGATGACGCAGGAAAGGTGGTGGGCGGGTAGCAGTTGGAGGGGCTGGGACAGTACGGAGTACAGTATGAGGAGAGTTACACACTGTCCTCGCTCGTGTGGCAGCGAGAGTCCAACGTCGGATATGTGTTCGCTACCCGACAAACATCGATATTTATTAGGCAAAGTAAAACGAATACTACTTTTCAGTGTGATTTGGCTCATCGTATAGCCTATTTAAGCAAATGTTACTAACTTATCATGTAGTTTTTGAAAGGTGCTGGTGCTAATGTACTGCGTTGACCGCGCTTCATTTCTCCCGCTCAAAATCAGCCATTTCATCTTCATTGCTATGCCAATTCCTTATTTCTCTCATGAAACATCCCATCGAGATCCGCTGGTTATAAAAGCCCTTGTATTGCAGATTCCAGATTCCTTCATGTATGTCGCGTTGTATTCTCCAATTCGGTATGTCTCAAAGCTCTATGCAATTTTCCATACTACTACCAAGCCCAACACATGCTGGCCCCTCGCTTCGCGGCCTCTTCCTAGACCCAGATTCTCTGTCCGAGCCCTTGTCGTTGTCATCGTGAGAGCGTTTACTCGTTCTACTTGCGCAACTCTCAGATGACGGCGACCTGGAGCCATTTGAGTCGCCACCTCCTAGAGACAAGGAGGATATTCCACTTCGGACCGTTCTCGCGCCTGTGCTGGTACTCTGATGTACTATTTGGCCATATGGGGTCGGACTAAGGAACATGTTGCCCTCTGAGCCACTGTTGCTTCTTGCCACGCTTCTATGTTCTTGGGAGTCTTCAACATGAGCGTTGATGGCCCGCATCGCATCGTTTTCTGGAGATAGACTCGTACGGTTGTTGTCTGCGGCCTCCCCAGTTGAGTTGCTAATACCGTTATTGTCGTCGACAAAAAGCGATTCTTCTTGGATACTTGGGTTTAAGTTTGCATTAGCAGGCACAGGTGAGAGAGTTGTGTTCGCTCCAGTATCTTCAGAGGTTGGCTCCGCCTTCATTGTGTCGTCCCGTATCGTTTGACTGCTATTTTGAGTTTCATTTTGCATATCTTCATGTCCATCAAGCTCTTCATCGTCCTCAAGCGTAAGGTCAATCATATTTGGCAGAGAGTGCTCCATGGTGTCTTCCTCCACTGTCACTCCGTTTTCAGAATTGGCGTTGTTGTATAGTCCCGGGTTGTCTTCAAAGGGTGAGGGAATCGAGTGTCTCTGTGCTCCATAATTCAAAATGACTGGACTTCCTGGCACAGAAGTTGTCTGGTGGTGATTCACCGCACCCGGACTGCCCAAAATAATCTCGACCGAGTCCCCTGATTCCGAACCATCGCCAACATAGGAATCTTCGTGTTCATCCTCATCCTCATCCTCGCTATCTTCACTGCTGGTATCGCTGCCACCGACGTTATTATCGTCTTCATCCTCCCCATCATCGTCGCTCTCAACCAGCTCGTCCCGGAGCTCGGGCAGCGCCGCCGCCATTATCAACCATGTCTCTGCACTTGGATTCAATCCCGGTATAAGGGGCGCAAGGTTTCGCAATGTCGAATTACGTTGGTCTTTCGGCGCTCGAGGCCCACGCACTGTCTTTTCCACGTCTAGCTGAAATGTTTTGTCGCGTACTTTGCGTTTCAGCCCATTTGCAATCCACTGTGTATGGTCCCAAAATGTGATGCGGTTGACTCCACGTAGACAATGGACATAATCAAGACCTTGTACGGTTCGAAGCGACCGAAACATACGGTAATTGGGCTGGTGCTGCGTCTTCCGTTTCATGTACTGAATAACACGACTTGTTTCATGCTGTCGGCGCATGTAATATTTTGATGACTCGGGAATGTATATATCGAGGGTAGAAAGTCGATTGGTTTCTGGCAGCCACATCAACGGCTGAGTTCTCCGAGATGTATATTTGCCCCGAGCACTCTTTTCAAATGTGAGGTATTGGGAGCCCATCCACAGAAGCTCAATATGTTGAACCCTTTGGAGTCTGTTTTTAATCCCCTTCGCAAAGCAACCCTATTCACCCAGCGAGGAGAATGCAAAAGTGTTCTCTCCATAAAACAAATGAGAGCCCCAAAACAACCACTTTTTGCACGTTACTAGTGGTGCTAGCAAGTCTTTTGGTAACGTGGCATATGTTAGGCTCACAGGTGAGTCACCAATATGAAAACGACGAAGAGGCTGTGGGTGTTCTGGGTCATTGCCCAACACACCGGACGAGAGAGAAGGCGTACGATGCGGATCAAGCCTAGTCAAAACATGAACCTTCTTTCCATAAAAGCATAAAAGCATTTGAAGGACACGAAACTGGGCCATGAGCGGCAGCTGGTCAAAGTTGAAGCTCCCAGCTACTGCTATAGATTCAATAGCACCATCTAGGTTATCATCTTTCTCCCTCAGGATCAAGCCTGGTAGAACCCGTTTCGGATGTGGCGGTATGTTTAATTCGCGGCAACTAAGCTTCCAGATTTCTTCGTAGTGTCTTAAATGAGGTGGAAGCCGAGATGATTGGCCTTGAAGGAACCATTTAATATAGACTGGCCACATCTATTTCACAAGTGGTTAGACCTTGACATGAGCGGCGAAGCTTGATACTTACGGCTTCTGTTCGTCTCCGAGCGCTCGGAGCGCTCGATGCGCTGGTCCTTGCAGCCGCAAGGTCAGCTCGAAGCCGCCGATTTTGGGCTCTCATCCGACTTATCTTTGCACGGAACCCTGCTATCAACTGTCTAGACTCTCCAAGTCTGAACTTGCGAATTTGCGATTTTTCATGTATCTTCTCATATTTCGGTTGGCATGATTCTACGCAACCACCCTGCCAATTCAAATCCTCATCGGAATCGGAATCAGTATTGAGATCGCCATCATCAAAACCAAGAAACTCGAGGACTTCTTGGTTAAACTCGTCGTCAGAATTACTCTGTTTAAACTTTGGTAAATATGGCATAACTTCCTAGAGACAGAGACGCACTCACATTATCCGAATCGGCTTCAGAACCTTCCGGCTGCGTATCAGGCGCCTCCTCTGACGCGTCACTTGAAACCACCGAATCTGCATCTGCTTGCCCAAGGGCTCCATCGTTCACAGCGTTGTCATCGGTTAGGCCTTCGAATGAACTTGTTTCCACAGCATTACCAGATGGTATGCTGGTTTCAAATCCAAGATCTTCGTAAACCTCCGTGACATCCGCTGTCAGATCAATCACCTCCATGTGAGACATTTGGAACGGCGGTGTGATTGAGAAAAAACTTTATGGATTAATGGATGAGACATTAACGTATTTTGCTGCGAGTGGGAGTTGAGGCTTCGTGGATGGAAGAGTGAAGAGATCAACCGTGAAATCGACTTAAACTCGCGACTGCTTATTAATCTATGTGCACTATCATAACCGAAAGAAGAAGGAGAGAGATGAGAAGAGTGAGAAAGGTAGGAAAAGAGGAAGAGTGAGAAAGGTAGGAAAAGAGGAAGAGTGAGAAAGGTAGGAAAAGAGGAAGAGTGAGAAAGGCACCTACATTAGCTGCCAATTGTCTCAGACTCGGCAATCTAGACTACCTGTTACTTGCATGCAAGACCAGAAATAGGCACCTTGCTGCTTCTACAGGCGTTTGCACATCTTCTCTGCATGAGGTATGGAAACTTGGTGTCAGTAGGCTGAGGTGAAGACGCGCGAAGCGGCACCGAGCGTGACAACTTAGAGTCTGGTGCCAAAGAATCACCTCTGCTAGTGAGTTGAACAGATCTATTTGCTTGCAAGGATCGTTGACATACTCATTCAGTGATGCCGTGACTGTTTGATTGATAATTCATGTCTTCTACTTCCCTTTATCTAAACCACCAATTTACAGAGCCATTAAGTCCTCCATCAGACTCCGCGCTCTTTACAGAATGCCACCAACCATCCGGAATGAAGAGCGCGTCGCCAGCGCCGAGCTCAACTTCGTGCAGTTCCTCAAGTGGTGTTTCATTTCCCCAGACTGCGTCATGCAGCACCTTTCTTTCATGGCCTTGCATCATATCAGTCGTCCTTATGCGACTATTTCCATGTTGCCGTATTTGGCGCTGGACGTCAAAGTATAATTCATCACCAAGGTTTGGCGGTAACAGCCGTACAACTTTCTGGCTGTACAGTTGGCAAAACAGGTTCGGATTTGGATCTCTATGCAGCGGCGTATAAGTTGGTTCTGTGCCCAGCCAGATAGATGAAGCGTAGATGTCGCCTTTTCCTGCACAAAGTACGATTTCTGGGGCTGGTAAATCGTCTTGAAGGGGCTGCGGCAAATCAGGCAGAGCAGACTGAGCAATGTACAAATGCAAAGGGTGTGTGGTAGTTGAGTCCCGAGCCGCGTTGAACTCTAGGGCCTTGATAAGAAGCTTCAAAGGCGCATAGAGTTGAAAGAAGCTCTGATCCTTCCCGTCGGTCAGTGCTGATTGCAGAATTCCTGCCATGATCTGATCAGTCATTTCTGAGCTGGTCATTAGTGCGGCCTGGAATTGCGAGACAGCATCTTGCTTCCCCCGGGACTTGATCAATTCGTACGGGAAAGGCCATTCTTGAAATCCTTGCACCAGAGATGAAGCGAACGGTAATGTTGAGTGCCTGTCGTGTGAGGAAGCGGATCTGTTGAACCATTTACTAAAGGCTGGGAGGCGACAGGTGGGTGAGCCAGCGTCGTCTGGAAATAAATAGGGCTTTCGGGGTAGAAATGCTTTCTTTTGAAAGGCTTTAATGTCTGCGTGCTCTTGGGACGAAGCAGAAGCGGCCTCGATAGACCGTAGAGGCTGCTGAGCACGGCGTGAAGAGATATGAAGGTGTCGTCGCCATATTGTGGCAAGCAAGGTGGGACGGTTCATGGCGCATAGATGAAGCAAACATGTGAGAGAGAAATTTCGATCATTCGGAACTTTTGTACAGGGCATTAAAAATTAAAACCCAACCGGGCTATAATGACAATTGCCACTCACACCCCATGTTTCTTATATGTTGCCCGGCGTTGAGCATGGTGAGGGAGCATGTTCCAAAATGGAGGGAGGTCGGAAGTCGGCAAAACCTGGCACCGGAGGCGTCGAGGACGAGTTACTGGTTGCATCTCGCCTAAGGCCTAAGACCAGGGAGGCTTCAGGAAAGAGGCAAGACCCATTTGACCACCGGCCACCGGCCACCCACCACCGCATCGCTAGACCTTGGGCGCGCACGCACTAGCATTGTATTGTCAAATCACAGCTCCTCCAGACGTTTTGCGCGCGCAGATCAAGCAGCGGCATCAAGCAGCCTGACGACATCGTCTGGCCAAAACCCCATCCAGACCAACTCGCGACCGCGACCGCGACCGCAGCCGCTCGACCTCATCTCACGGACGCCTTGTTCTGTGCATCTGCGGCACGCGTGCCATTTGACCACCCCGCCTCAATCCTGTTTCGAGTCTTGTGGGCAGCCCTGTCGATATCTGCCCCTCCATCCGGATTGCATCATCTGTCCCGTCTCGTTGTTTCGTCGTTTCGTCGACAACTGGCCTTGCGGCCGTCTCTACTTTCGTCATGTCTACAGACTCGGGCGCGCCTGAGTCGTGGATCTCAAGCTTTTGTGCTCTTCTGGGCCATGAGTATTTCGCCGAGGTATCAGAGGAGTTTATCGAGGATGACTTTAACCTGACGGGTCTTCAGACCCAGGTGGCCATGTACAAAGAAGCATTGGAGGTATGTGGTGGCTGAAATCTTTTTTAAGCTTTTGCCCCCCGGTGTCCTGGTGCGGAAATGCGGTCTTCGTCAACTAACTCCCCCCTGCTCTTCCGCAGATGATATTGGATGTGGAGCCCGAAGACGATGAAGATGAGGAGGAAGAGGAGGAAGAGGAGGATGATAATGAATCCGGTCTGGGCGATGGCCAAGAACGAATGGGTGGCCGACCAGGCGAGCGACGACACCATAGCAGAATGGCCAGCGACTTGTCCGTCATTGAATCCTCAGCAGAAATGCTGTACGGCCTCATTCACCAACGGTTTATATGCTCGCGTGCTGGAATTCAGCAGATGAGTGAAAAATATGAACTCGGTCACTTTGGGTGCTGCCCACGGACCAACTGTGAGCAGGCAAGAACGCTACCCGTTGGGCTCTCCGATATACCGGGCGAGGATACCGTCAAGCTGTTCTGCCCGGCTTGCCTAGACGTCTATGTCCCGCCAAACAGCCGTTTCCAAACTGTCGATGGAGCATTCTTTGGTCGCACATTCGGCGCCCTTTTCCTCCTTACCTTCCCCGAGTACGACCTCACCAAAAGGGGGGTCGACGTTCTCTCTACAGCAACGTCGCGGATAACAGCCGATGAGGAGCTCGTCAACGGCATGTACGCCAGGAACATTGCTCCAAACCTAGGACCCGGCTACATCTATCAGCCCAAGATTTATGGCTTCAGAGTTTCAGAGCGGGCCCGATCGGGCCCGCGCATGCAATGGCTACGAGATCGACCAGCCGATGTCAACGACCTTGACGAGTCTCGCATCTACGCTGAACAATGCGCCGAATCCGAGGATGACGACGAATCCATGAACCTTAATGGACGGGCAACGGTCCGTCGACGACCTCCTGGCAACGCCCGTCTCCGTCAGCGACAAAACCAGAACGGCAGTCCCATGGCTCTATCAACGAACGGCGCCGAATCCGAGCTGTAGGAAGACGAAACAGCAACTGCCCCTTCATTCTCCCCACCAGGAATATGGTGCAGTATGGCATCCTTGAAACGTAATACAGATGCCAGTCCTCGGACTGAGGATTGGCAATCACGCCGTCCATGCCCCGAGGCGGCGTTCCGTCAATTAGCTTCAGCAGGAACAAGGATTGTCCAAGGCAGAGTCAAATATCCTACCCCTCAAGCTTCCTCCTACAACGAAGATTCCACCCCTCAAATATAGTGGCATTTGCATAGATGGCGTTGGAGGTGTTGTTCAGTGAATACAATTTGGTCGGTTGGTGAACGGCGGAAAATAACAGAAAAGAAGAACAAGAAGGGAGGCTTTCTTGCATGATGGGCGTGTGTATGTGTGCGCGTGTTCTACTACGCTCAGCGGTAAAATTGGGTGCCTGTCAAAGCAAGATACGGGTACATTTCGCGTTTAGACGGCGCGGGCCAAAGATGTGCGAGGTCGCTGTTGAATAATTGCACATGGTTATTGGTATTGTTTATTTGGACGGAAACGGCGTGGCGACGTACCATAGAGCGATGAGTTTCCAAGAGGATTTTGCACCTTTTTTTCAACTTTTTGATAAAATTACACATGTTTACATGCACATTCCACCACTACATTGATGTGCCAAACTTCAGAAGTAGACATACTGAAATAATTGAATTGTGCGTTTCATAACCAAACCATAACTAGTCCTATCGTAGCGGCGATCCCTTCCCCGGCGTCCAACTCGAGCCCCCGCCAAAGCCAGACCCAGGCGCCATGCCGATAATCTTCCTCACGGGCGTGGACGGTCCCGGCGTGGACGCGTCTACCGGCAACGGCGGAGTATCCGTCCTCTGAACACCCAGGTCATCCTTCCGCGGAGGCTTAAAGTTGACGTCTCTTCCGGCGCGATAAATATCTTGCAGCATGGTTTCCAGAATCCCAGCGTCTTCAAACTCTAGATATTTCCGATATAACTTGAGTGCCGTTCGGGAGTCTTCAATCGAGTCGTGTGTTTCCATTTGAATGTCCTCCTTTAAGAGGTACCACGCTAGAAATGCCAACGAGAGCTTTCGAAGTCTCGACTTTAGGAAGAACAGATCGATTGTGTCGATGACTTGAGACTTGGGAACGTGGATGTTTATGACGCGGAAATCTTGTTTGAGGCCGTGGCCGAGGAATTTGCAGCCGAGGTTGAGCAGAACCCAGAGTTTCTTGTAAACCATCTTCAGTGGAAGCAGGCTGTGTTTGGAAATCCTTGGGTCCAGATCTTCTCGGGTTATGCCAGAGTATGAGGTCAGATAATCCACAATGGGCTCTTGTATTGAAATGTAGTCGTCGATGAAGGGCAGCCCCTCGTTCTCGCCCTGCCCGCGGACAACAGATGTTCTAGCCAGGGCATAGACAATCGGACGAATCGTCTCTCGTTCGCCGTCCGAGTTCATTTCAATCTCGGGTTGTCGAATGGCGACAAATTCCGTGTCTAGAGCTATTATTGTATCCGGGCCAGGGCGCTCCGTCTTCGGATCCAGGATGTGATATGTTTTGGTTTCAGAGTTTGGATTTGGACTGCAGCTCAGGTTAGCTTGGCGTGTCAATAGACACTTGGTATGTAGAAAAACAAAAACGCACTACAAATCGTGATACAGAATCGAGGTATCCAGTTGATCTTTCCAAGTAGAATCAATTTTGTTATTCGCTTCTTTGATCTGGAACGATACAACACTGGGGACTTTCCATGACGTGTTGAATGTAAGCGCTTCATCTGTGCTGACAGACCTAACTAAGAAGTCGTTGAACAAGTGCCATTGACTTTGTCCCGGAGCTTCTTGTTCAGCGTGTGCAACTGTTTGTTTGTCTGTTAGCGTTAGATAACTTGCACGTCCTATCGGAAGCACTTGCCATTGACCATGGATACTAGGTGCGGCTTTTGCGTTTGGCCACCCTCAATGCCACCCTCAATGCCACCCTCAATGTTTGTCGCCATTCCTATTAGTGAATATACTGTGATATTATGGATTCCTCGCTGCAAGTGAAGTTTCAGGTCTTCTCCCTCGTAACAGAAGAACTGGCCCTGTTCAACAATGATTCCAATCTCCTCAGGAAGCCAGCCGGGAGTAGACCACAGCATGCGATGATCGTGCTTCGTAATTGCAGTATTCAACATTAAGACTGCCGGGATGTTGTGAATTGTCTTTTTGGTGGCGATGGTTTGATAACGTGAACATAGGCGACACCAACCCTTAGAGGTAGTCTCTCTCTCAACGCTACTCTTAAGAACCTGAGAAAAAGTGACTCTGGGCATTTTGGCGTTTCGTCCAGGAGGTTTCTAAGAAGCTGGATTAGAAGGGTTCGGTACAGAGAGATACCACATACTGACAAATGGTGGATAAAGCAAGTCGTTGACATATGTAGAACCTGGCCTTGTATACTCGCTCCTACAATTCATACATCGAATAGAGCTTGTTGCTGAGGTTGCAAGAACCTGCGGGTTGTCAGGGCCTGTTCAATGTATTCTCTAGGCATTACTAACCTGTTCCATCGCAGATGATGTTGGTGACATACTCTTGTAGTCAGAAACAATCTTATCCAAGAGAAATCTAGTAAGCCCTTGCAGCATAACGTTTAGAGACGAGCCGTGGGGGTCCTCTTCGAGGAGGCCAAGCGGTCCGGCTGATGATGGTTAGCACAGATGACACAGTTGGCACAGGGTTTGACGTGCGGTCTACCTTGTGGGTGGCTACTAAGTGTTCTCAGCAGGTTTGTTGCCTGGCAGATTGAGCCGTCCGCTTTTTGTAGCATGTCGAAAAGGAAGCCAAGTTCACACAGCAAGCAGATTTCGCTCACACAGGCCGTAGCCGCATGTTGAAGGGCTAAGTTTCGGATGAGGGGGGTAAAGTGCATGATTTGAAGGAGTGAGTTGGCGTATGAGTTTGAAATATGAATTTCCAAGCCTGAATAACGAGTTTTATTGTAGAATCTGAAGTCTGTCAGCAGGCAGTTGGGAGAACAGCACCACAAGCGTTGGTCAACTCACCCAAAATCAAAGTCATCTACTCCGAACTTGCTGTACTTGATTTCAACGTTGCGATACATGACCGGCACGTCTGATTTCTCACTTTCAATCTCGTTCTCGCCCACTGGGCTAGAAACATCGTCGGCCTTACCGTCCGTCCTGGAATCGGATTTCGCAGACTCTCTGGCTTTCTCACTCAGGAACTTGGGCGCCTTGAGTCCAGAATTGGCAGACTTGTGGCTGTTTCTGGTATCCTCAGCCTGGTTCCTTCGGAAGCCTCTCGTGTTGCGGCCGTACAGGCCAAATTCGGCCGGCTTGAGGCTCGCGAGAAACTGAGGATCAAACCTTATTGGAGGGGCGCCAACATCTGATACAAGATCCGGCCAGGCCGAGGCCAGCACGTCCCGATAGTAGGGCAATCCAACAGAGTTTAACGGTCTTGAGTGAGAGAAGGTCAGTGTATAATTTAAATATCAGTGGAAGCTGTTCATACGTTTCAGGGGTCCATTCTATTTGAGGAGCGTGTTCCTCCGGGCTGGCGAATTCTATTGGTGTTGGCAAGTCGACAAAGTGAAGCTTTGAAGGCGATCCCCAAAGGTGAATATAGCACTCAGCATCGGCCAAGGCCATTGATTCTCCAGACGGCGCAATTTCAAACATACTAAGGTAGGTCAGGACGTTTGCCTGTCGCACGTTACTTGTGTTGGGGTTCATCAAGTCGACTACATGCATTTGGCCGGACTGTGAGACCACAATACTGGTAGTCAACATTCTAGGATGCATGCGAACGTACGCCGCCCCGGCAGGAAAAGGTATTGGTGGCATTGACGACATCTTTTTAATATCAAACACGTTCAAGAATGGATCGAGCATGTATGTTTGGCCTTGTCGAAGCGAATATCCACATGTAACAATGAAGTCATGCTGGGCATCCATGTCATTGATCAGCGCAGAGTGAGCATTCCAAGACTTAACAACTGCAAATGACACCGGGTCAAGGAGGTTCACCGTTCCATTCTTAGTCGCCGCGCAAATATACTTTCCTCGCTTCATGATGGAGTACTGGTGTTCGGTTGCAATCTGGCAGCATTGTCAGTCGCGCGAAACAGCATAGGACTAACAGCCACCAACAAACCTGCTTCACGGCCTCGCCCTTATTAAGGTCGATGACTAGCATTGTGTCTTGCAATCCTGCAACAATGATCTCGGCCGTCCCTTTGGAAGTAAAGCTCATGCACCGCAGTTCCTTCATGTCGTCGTGTCTTCTTCCTCTATTAGCACACTCTCACCGCATATAGGGCTGTGAGGTAATCGTACTTGATGTGCCATATCGGTGGCCCTCTCCTCTGTGCCATGTGAACATCCTTTGACCCCAAAACTATCACGCCCTTGTCGTTGACCAATATTTGCCGTACTGCTCCGTCAGTCGAAAGATGTGCTTTGAAGGAGGTATATCGTTGTAATTCCGAGCCAAGAAAGGAGGTAACGCGACCCTGCAGCACGAGTCAAAACTGGAACATTTTCGCCCTAAATATGTCTTATGTATCCATACATAATCGTTTCCAGTCCATAGTAGTTCTTGGAAGGTGTCAAAGGTCATCGTAGTTACCGGTGTCGGCATCGCATGGACGCCCGGAGGCGGGAACGGAATGCGGGCGACCTGAGGGTAATAACGTACGCGTTAGCAACCCGCTGAAAGACGAATGACGTGGCACATGGACATGACCAGCGGGCAGCAGACATCTTTGTGCGCCCGGTGGAACATAAAGTCGGCTCAACTACAGAGCGACTGACCTCATCCCAGTCGCCGTCCATTGTTGCTGGCTTGTCATTCTCCGAAGAATGATAAAGTATTGATAAACGATGCCCGAGCACCAGGTGTGCCTCTATGGCTCCGCGACGCTTTCAAACGCAATGCGCCTCACAGGATGCTCGGCGTCGGACTCCAGGATATTGATGAATGTCGAGATCAAGCAACGGCTAGCCGCTCGACTCGCGCGTGGAGCTGCCTGACGTTGGAGCTTGTTGGCGGGGCACATGAGGCTGCAGCAAGTCTGGTGGCCCAAGAGTCCGTGCTCAATCGATGCGGCGTCGGTAAGGGCCCACAACAATCAAATATTGGAGCTACCCTACACTTTTGCACAGGATTACAATGTTGGCCCCGTTTAGGCCGGCGAAGAATTAGAAATAGCTATAACTCCCTACGAAGGGAGAGTTTTTTTTTTTTTTTTTTTTTTCCCGGGTTTG